TGGCAACGGGGGAGGTCTCTATGGAACCTGAACACAGCATATCCAACTTTTGTTTCTGAACAAAGTGGTCAACAACTGTAAGAACTCAGAAGTTACCTGGAAACAGCAGAAAATAAAGTGAAGAGGTATGACAGGGATACAAATACTCTGGTTTGTGAAAGCCTGCTACAGAAAATTGCGCAAGGATCTCATATCACTGTGTATGTAATAAACAGCCTGTGAAATTAAATGCTGTGAAATCACAGGGGAGAAAACACCACATTAAGTACAGAATGGCAGATGCTAAACTATCTATCTTTTCTCGGGAAAGATGAGTCATTCTGGAGAGTTCCCAGAACTTCAGTCAATGCTCAGCAGTGGTTAAAAAGGCAAATACAGAGTTAGGAGTCATTATGAAAGAAACAGAGTAAAACAGTACACCAGGGTACAAAATTAATGATGCAGCTCTAATACTACACACCATTCTGGTCACCCCATCTCAAAGAAAACATAAGGGAGATTGAAAAGGGCCTCAAGAATAAACCAAAGGTATTGAGAAGATTCTGTTCAAGCAGAGATTAAATGTATGAATAACGAAATAACTCAAGAAAGAGATAGCAAAGAAAAACTCAAACTTATAGGGAACCTAAAAGATGCAATCATGATTTCTTATAAGCAGGGGAGAAGGGGCAAAAAATTAAACTGAGCAATGTGGGGGGACGACAGGAGGATTGGTTGGGGGGGAGGGGTGTGTGTTAATGTTATCTCATTCAACAAATTTAAACTGTAGAGCACAGTCCTACAAAATGTTTTGAATGCAAAAATCAAAAGGTGCTAAAGCAACAGTTAGACTGATTCATTGAAATTAAGTGGCCCATGTTCTGACTCTGTATTGCCACAACAGAGTGAAAGTAACCAGGGAGGAATTAAAGCACAGACACCTGATAGCAATACATGTGGAAGAGCAAATATACCAAATGTTTTAATGTCTGGGAGCATTAAAAGCTACGGCTGTAGTCAAATGAAAATAGGTAAGGCAACATGCAAAACTTAGGTAAGACTCATCACCAACATGCAAATGTCTACCCCTACAGCATACATTTGGAAAAATGAGAAGAGGAAGAGGCAAAGAAGCTAGAATCAATGCAGGAGGCAGGAAGAAGAGCTGGGAGACAGCAAATTACAGCCTTATGGGAGACAAAAGGAAAGAAAGGATAAAAACCTCTCAAAGAGGAAGGACAAATGAGAATGAGCTGATTCTGTCTAATTAGCAGCAAAGGAGTATGAAAGAGACCTGAATTTCTTTATCTGATGTTGCCTCTGCAAAAAAGCAAGAGCTGGGGGGGATAAGATAAAGATAACATACACAACTACGATCTTCTTGGAGGATATTGACTGCAAAAGGCAGGCAGGAAGGAGATCTAAGAAAGCAAGCATTAGATGAGATTAGGAAGGCAGGCACATAAGGAAAGTAGATGGTGGGAAGCAAGGAACACTCAGGGCAAAAATCACCAAAGGTAACAAAAACTGAGGCGGAGGACGACCTGGATGTAGAATCTGGATTTGTGCCTGTAGAAAAAGGGATATAACAGGAAAGGATACCAGGAGACCTGTAGGGATGTCAGAATAGGAATTATAACAATAGGGAAATGGAACAAACTGCGGGAGGGGGGTGTAACACCATAATGCAAAAGTGCAGGGTGGAGAAGGATTGGTAAGTTTAAATGAATACAAGCTCGAAGAAAAATAGGGTTCTCCAGTACCTGTAGAGCAAGCCCTTGTCAGGTAGGTGGAATCCAATACTCACAGTGAGAAATGGAGGACAGCAATCACTATCATTGGCAATTACCAGAATTTGCTTCTCCAGAGGGCGCTCCTACTTATGACTGAGTTCTTAGCACAGGTGCATATACTCCACACTTTTTCCAGCCAACTTCTGAGTGACTGAAGCAACGAAGCTTCTGCCCGTTATCATCAGCCCTAATAATTTTTGTCTACTTCCTGTTACTGCCTTCTGCACAATTAATAATATCATGTCGTATTTAACAACCTTAGTAACTGGAAGTGATTTTCTGCACAGGATCTTGGAAAACAAGAGTTAACCACAGATACAAGAATTTAAATGTCTAGGATACATCAACACCAATGGAAAGAACTGATGCTTCTTCAGCTACAAACAAAAGGAGCCAATTTTAATATCTGTCTCCAAAGCTAAAATGCTACTACGAGCAAAAGGCAGAAATTGATACATATGAAGTCTTAGCCACAGTCAAGACCAAGCCGCTCTACTTTTTGTAGACTTAAAAGCTTCTTGTAGAATTCTACAGCAGATTAATAGGAAACACACAAGCCATTTATTATCTGAAGCGGGCCAATCACCGGTGGCCATTAATTAGTGAAAAACTAGTTCTCCCAAGTGACATTTCTGAATCACAATTAGCTAGAAGAGACCTTAGTTTATGTAACAGAATAAATGTTTTTGACAGGCAGATTTAAATAAGGAATAACATTATCTGTTTTTCTGCCCAGTTCAGTCTCCTTTTCATCATGCACGTCACTCTGGATACTTCAGAGTTGCATTTGATTTGTAAACGATTTAGTCTGAAGCCATGATACACAAATTAATTTGAGGCTATATGAGTTATGCCACTATGTCTGAACATCAAATTGAAGCAGACCTTGACTGAAATTCCTTGTTCATTTTCATGGCATCACTAAGTAAGCATTGATTGAACCAATACAGCTTTATTCAGGACGACTACCAAAAGCAAAGCTATGAAGAACTGCCCCCTACATAGCAGATCACAAAAAACAACTTGTCTTTTACACAGAATATTACTGCATTTTATATCAATGCGGTCTGTAAAGCACAAAAGGGCTAAGGAATAGAAGAAGATAGAATGGGAACACTAACTCTATACATAAGAAAATCAGACAGGAAAAACAATAGATTTTAGTATTTCAGTACCTAGTATTCCTGCATTTAGCTGCACTTCTTACTAAATCTATCATCAGAAGGCAGGTTGAAACATCACACACTCATAAAAAAGAGCTTCAGAATAAGTTGCCTGGCAGTATTTTTACATCTCATGAAAACAATGCCTTGCAGTAAGCTGTGTTTTCAGGCAGAAATAAAAGCCAACAGAATCACAGAATTGCCCAGGTTAGAAGGGACCTCAGAAGATCACCTGGTCCAACCTTCTGTGGGAAAAAGAGCATAGATGAAATTATTTAGCACCCTGTCCAATACATTCTTGAAAGCCTCCAGCAATCGGGACTCCCCCACATCCCTGCGGAGGTTGTTCCAATGAATAGTCATTCTTACTATAAAAATTTTCTTTCTTACATCAAGATGAAACTTCTGCCGTTGCAACTTGCACCCATTGCCCCTTTTCTTCACCATGTGGCTCATGCGGAAAGACCCCACCCCTCACATTAAGTAGAAACTCTGAAATCATAAACATATTGCTGAGCTGGTTTTCACACCAAAGTGCAATTCATGAATTCACAAACACAACCCTGCTAGGGCACAGCCCTGAAGACACTGCTTCCAGAAGGGATACAGACAAGGCTTCCCAGCCTAGGGCTGTTAGAGCAGCTCAACCTCAGGAATTTGTCCTACAACACAAGCTGGGGAGAGAAAGTGTTATAATGCAAACAAGAAATGCAGCACTGGCAGCCGCCTCCCAATGAGGGCAGTTTTCACCTAAACTGCTCCTAAGAAAAAGATCCTGAACATCCTACGTAAGAGATCTAGGTTACAAAACTGCCAACCAGAAGCACACCAGAAGTGTCAAGATATTTTATTTTTTTTAGAAGGGGGTAGTACAACACACCTTTTCTTACTTGCTTTCTACTTTGCCCTTGCACGACATGCAGATATAGGCTCAAAATGCTCTCTTTAAGGCTGGAAAAACTATCCTCAACATTAACTATGAACAAGGACTAAAACACTCACCTCTACAGCTCGAGGGCTTTGAAGAAGCTACCAACTATTACAAGCACCTCCACTGAAGAGCAAGGAAAGAAAAA